GGGGGATGGACCACGCGGGAGGGGCGAGCGGAGGGGGGGCAGGCGCGGGGCGCGGGGGCGAGAGTAACGGAGGCGGCGAGGGGGGCGGGGGGGGGGGGGGAGCAAGAGGCGGGCATGTGTCAGTAGTGCGCAAGAGGCTCTGCAGGGGGAGGGAGGGAGGGGGGAGGGGGAGGGGTAGGCGCAGCAAGAGAGGGACCCGGGAAAGAGGGACCCAGGTCTGCACCGCCACCGCCGCCACCAGGGCAGCCCGGCTCATCCGGACCCCCCCCCCCCCCCTTCCCGGCCGGCTGTTGGCAAGCGTGCGCGGCGTACACGGCAAAGATCAGGTCCCGGACCTGGGACACCGGGAAGTATGCCCGCAGGGCCTCCTCATCGACATTCATGTTGCGCTCGCGCCAGATGCGCTGCAGGAAGGCCACATCCCACCAGCGGATGTCCTCCTGCCCGGCGGGCACCAGCCCCGGGGCCAGGTCACGCAGGGCCGCCAGCTCGCGGTCGCATTCGGCACGGACGCCGGACTCCTGCGCCTCGCGAAGGAAGGCCCCGACGGTGGCCGGCTGCTGGGCGATGGTGTCCCCCTGGAGGCGGCGGTCGGCGTGGGTGTCGAAGCCCAGCAGCCGGGCCGCCGCGTGGCGAGCCGTCAGCAGCTCGGCCAGGATGTCCAGGTTGCCGGCGCGCACGGCCCGGCGGTCGCGCGCCGCCGACAGACGCCGCCGGGTGCTGGCCACCTGGCACTGCTCGAGCACCACATGCACGTGCGGCGGCGAGGTGGTCACCACGAAGAAGTGCTCCGGCCCGGGCGTCAGCAGGTCGCCGGTGGCTTGGAGGTCGGCGGCCGGGACGCGCTCCAGCGCGTCGATGAAGTCCGCCGGGCAGCCCTCCTGCGCCGGAGGGGACGTGCGGGGCAGAGGGCCGGGGGTAAGGGGAATGCCCGGAAGCAGGAGCGGGACTCGGGCGGGTCAGGGCGAGCGGGGGCCGGGCACGGGTGCTCGCGGGCGCCAGGGCGTGCGTACCAGCTCCTCACGCGAGAAGTACACCTTGGCGGCGTTCTCATTGATGTTGTTGACGAAGCGCGACTGCAGCGAGGCGATGCGCTCGCTGAGCTCGGCGAATTCGGCCTGCGCCGCGGGGTCCGTGATGCCGGAGCCCCGCTGCTCCATGCGCTTGAGGGTGTGGTCCAGCAGCCGGGCCGTCTGGACAGGCAGGTCGGGCCGGGAGCAGCCGGCTGCCGCGGCTGCGACCGGTCCCAGGGCCGGAGGGGGGGGTGGGGGGCGGGGGCGGGGGTGTCAGGGCAGATGCGACCAGTGGATGCCGGGGGCTGGAGGGGGGCAGGGGGGAAGGCCGACCGAGGGCCGGCCATCGTCGCGTACCCTTGAACACCTTGTACAGGGCGGGGTTGGTGTACTGCTTTTCCCAGGCCAGCTTCAGGGCGGACTGGGCGGCGGAGGCGGCCGCGCGGACGGCCGGATCCGGCGAGCCCACCATCAGGAAGATGGTCAGCTGCGACTGCATGGTGGCGGCCCAGTCGTGCTTCTGGTGCCACTTGATCAGGGTCGAGTCCAGGTCGGGGGGGTTCTCCGAGGCAGGCGACCACCTGTGCTCGCGCGGTGACACCCGGGGGGGGGGGGGGGCGGGATGCGGGGCGCACTTCTTGACAATCTCATCCGAGGTGGTGGTCATGGCGGAGATGAGCTGCTGGCACTGCTGCTCGATCTGCTTGGCAGTCAGGCCATACTGCATGCCCATCGGGGGGAGGAGCATGGCGGCGGCGGGGCGGGTGGGGACGGCCGGGGCGGCGGTCGGCGGAGAGCCAGCGAAGGCGGCGGGGAGGAGGCGGGCGAGCGACCGGGGCTCGCAACCGGCCGCAGGCCGGCGCACGGGCCCCGTCTGCCTGCTTGCCTTCCCAGAAGAGCCCGGCAGTCCTCTCGGTACCAGTGCGCGGGGCGTGCGCCCCGGGCCCGGGGGAGGGGGGCGGGGCGAGGGGGCGCCCGGCCAGTTTGTCGGGGGGGGGCCTGCGGACGCCCCCGGCCCGGTCGGTGGGGGGGGCTCTTTGGCGGGGGGGGGGGGGGCGGGGGGCGAGGGGCGTGGTAAGCGGGGTGTGGTGACGGCCGGGTGCCCCGGTGGGGGACGGGGGTGGCAGAAAAGAAAAAGAAGCCCCACGGCAAACAAGGAGGCCGAGGGCGCAGCGGGAGCAGTCTCACGCACGACGCCAGCTGGCCGGGGTAGGCGACGGAGAAGGGGGCCAGCGGCGAGCCGGCCGGCAAGCATGTCCTCGATGACCAAGCGGGCGAGGTGCAGGGCGGGGCGGAGAAGGGACAGGCAGGGGAGCGGGTGGGCGTGTGTGTGTGTGTGTGTGTGTGTGTGTGAGTGTGTGGAGGCGGGGCGGTTTACACCGCCGCCCTGGGAGACGGCGCCCGCGTAGGACGCCGGCTCCCGATCCACGGCGGGCATTTTCCCCATCGGACAAGTAGTGCCCTCCGCCCTGGCCAGTGTGACTAGCGCGGCGGCCGGCCCGCACGGCCCGCGGCGCCGATCGCGGGCAGCAGCTGCCCCGCGCCCCCCCCCCCCCCGGTCATGGCCAAGCTGGTCCGGGAGCCTCCTGGGTGTTGCGCGCGCCCTGCGCCCCCTCCCAGCCGGTGCCCGCGAGCCGGGATCGCTGGGGGCTCGCTGTCAGCGCACGCGCGATCACGGGATCATGTCTTTTCGCCGGCGCCCCGTCGGCGCTTTGCCCGCGCTTCTGTTGCGCGGCGATCCGGCGACCCCGCCGGGGCCTGCCCCCGGGAAGGGGGCCTGCCGTGCGCGGGAAGGGGGGGACCGAAAAAGGGGCCCTTCGTGTGATGCGCTTCCTTGGGTGCATGTGTGTGTGTCTGCGTTGACCGGCGGCGGTCGCTACCCCCCCCCTCCTCCTGCCCTCCCTCCGGGCGGCACGATCGCGGCGAGGGGGAAGGCAAAGAAAACAAGACTACAGAGGGATTATTTATTTGGGATTATTCTTTTTCCTCCGGGAGAGAAGACAGAGGCCACCAGCGGCGGATGGTGGGCACAGGGCAGGGGCTGATAGGATGCGGTGGCCGACACGCACACGGACACACCCACAGCAGGGGCGCCTGGCGTTCCGGCGCATGGAAGACCGCGACTCTGCGGCGGGGCCAGGGCCCGGCGGGAGGGCCCATGCCCCGGCCACTACATGACCTGGCAGGAGGACTCGCTTTCGGCCGGGGGCGGCGCCGGCGGGGGGACCGGGTTGCGGGTGGGCAGGCCGTGCCGGGCACGAATCTCATCGTACCGGCGCTCGCGCTCGGCGTGGCGCTCATTCAGGCGCTCCTTGCGCGCGGCGTCCTCCTGAGCCTGGCGCTCCTTCTCCTTGTCCATTTCGGCCTTCTTGCGCTGGGCATGGCGCGGCAAACACAAGGGGGGGGGGGGCAAATGGGTGTCCGTACGGCCTGGACCTCGGGGTCCTCCTCCTCGTCGTTGAAGCCCATCGAGTCGGTGATGCCCTTGACCTTGTTGCCGATGATGGCCTTGGTGATGGAATCCATGATGATGAAAGTGGTGGCGGTGGGCACCCTCGTGCGGATGCGTCTTTGTGCAGGGGGTGCGGTGAACAGAAGGGAGAGAGAGAAAGGGGGGGGGGGGGGATGGCTGGGGGGGATATGGCCGGTGCCGGGCCGTGGCCGGTACCGGCTGGGTGGCCAACAAAAAAGATCGTCATGATCGGCGGCCCGGACCCGGGGGAGGTTGCGTGCACCAGCACACGGATCGGCCTCCGCCATCGCCTCTCGCCCGCCGGGGTCGCCGGGCCGTTGTGTGCCTCAGGAACCGGGTCCGGTGCTGTGATGTCCCCACCCCCCCCCCCCCCCCCCCCCCCCCCCCCCCCCCCCCCCCCCCCCCCTCTGCCCGCCCCCCCCTCCCCCCCCCCCCCAGCGCCCCCCCCCTCCCCAGGCTGACTTCCGTGTCTCTTCCCTTTGCCCGACTCCGGCCCCCCCGGCCATCAGCGCACCGCGGGGAGGTGGCCCACAGCCTGGGCTCGCCCAAGCAGACCACGGCCCCATGTCCCAACGGACGGCGATCTGCTTGAGTGCATCTATTTTTTGGCCCGCCCGGGGGGGGGGGGGGGGGAGAAGGGACGGGGACTTCCCGCCCGGGCCTCGCACGGCGGCCGGACATGCGCATGGAAAAAGGCGACGCCGGAGGGGGAAGCGGCAAGGAGACCGGATGCTCTACTGGGCGAGCAGGGCATCGGGACACCTCCCGGCAGGGGGGACGACGGGGGCCGGGCTGGCGGCCTCCGCCTGGGTCGGGGAGTCCTCCTTGTCGGAGGTGGGAGTCCCCGGGGCGGGGATCTCCTCGGAGCCGCCGAGTTCGGCGGCGCCAGATCGCCCGGCCTCCCCGGCCGGGGCCCCGATCGACGCGTCCAAGGTCCGCTCCGGGGACTGGCCGCCATCCCTGGCCATGGACGGCGGCGCGCGCCGGGAGTAGAACTCCACATTGGCGAGGGACATCGGCCGGTAGGAGTAGAACTGCCGCGGGGCGCCATCCGGGGTGTCCTCATCCAGGGCACACAAGTCCATTTGGTGGCGAATCCAACTGAGCAAGCCGGCCAGCGGCTTACTCGGGATCAGGGTCAGCGCCTGGTTTGAGGCAAGATGGACCTGGGAGCAGGGAAGGGGGGGGGGGGGGAGGAGGGGCGAGCCAGCAATGGGTCAGGCAATTGGTATGGGGCACAGCCCATCAAAAGCAGCAGCAGCAGCCTGTGCATGAGATCCCAGGCGGAGTGTGCGTGTGTGTGTGTGCGTGGGCGTGGGCGTGCGCGTGTGCGTGTGCGTGGGCGTGGGGAGGAGGGAGGAAAAGACAGGCAGACGTACCGCGCTTAGCAGGCGCTGGAGGAACAGATAGTACGGGGTGTTCAGGCCGGACACATGTGCCATTGGAGAGAGACCGCCGGGGGTGGCGGTGGCGGTCCCCCCGGCGCCCGCGGCCCCCGGCGTGGCGGCGCGCAAGGACGGGGTCCGCGACAATGGCGGCGAATGCGACAGCGAGAAGCTAGACGAGCTGGCATAGGAGTAGCGCGAGAGTGTGGGAGCCGGCTGCGCAGGGAGCTGCCCGGAGAAGGACCCGGGGCGCGAGGAGCTGGGCGTGCTGTCAGCCGGGAAGGGAGGAGGGGAGGGCAGTGCCCGCACACGGAGGGGCAGCATCACCTTGTCAGAGGGGGGGGGGGCAGGAGGGGGAAAGAGAGGGCGATGCCGGCACACATGGAGGGGACCATGGGGAACGAAAGGGAGAAAAGGCGAGAGAGAGAGAGAGGGGGGGAGAGGGAGGCCAGACGCACGTTGGCCCGGAGCCGAAGGATGGCCGAAGGACGCGCGCCAGATCCATGAAGAGTGGACCATTGGCCAGGTGGGCCTCCGGGATTGCCGAGTACGCGAGCACCAGGGAGGCCAGATGCAGCGCCAGCCACAATGCCGGGTGGGGGTTCGGATCCTCCTTGGAGGTGGCTGGACGCACGGCAGCCGGGGCAGGGGGAGGAAGACATGTCAGACACCCGGGGAGCCTCGTCAAGAAAAAAAAACACCCCCCCGCGAGTGGCCCACGCGTATGGGCAAGAGCCCCGCAGATGAGGGGGGAGGGGCAAAGCAACGCACAGGCCTGGTGATCAAACAGGGGAGACAGTGTGAAGGGACCAACCGAGTCGTGCTTCAGCACGGCCGACGCCCGACTCGAGGAGAATGTCCCGGATGCCAGGCGGTTGAAGAGCCGGATGGAGGGCGATCGGGAGACCAGGTCGCCCGGGTCGGCGTGCACCGCCACCGGGAAAATCCGCAGGAGCTCCTCCAGCAAGGATGCCCGGCGGGCCGACAGGAGCCGGAACTGCTCGACGGCGAGGGAGCTGTGTGCGTGTGTGCGTGTGTGTGCGAGAGAGAGCGTGTGTGTTGGCGTGTCCGGTGTGGCCGGTGTGTGCGTGCGCGTGTGTTGGCGTGTCCGGTGTGGGCATGCGCATGGAAAGGAACGTGAGTGGCACAGGGGGAATCGGCACGTGAGTGAAGCGTGCAAGGGCCCTGGGCGCACCGAACGGAGAGGATGCCCGACTCGGCGTGAATGTTCCGCGCGGCCAGCAGGGCAGATGTCGCGGCGTCGGCCTCCTGCAGGTCTCGGAGCTGCTGGATCTGCTGGCGCTTGGCGGCAACCTTGGCACGAACTGCGGGGAAGACCAGCACGCAAGCACATCCCGCGGCCCGCGGTCCCCCGCCCGCCCACCATGGCGGATGTGAGGGTCAGACAAATGCCGGCAGGTGCAAGGGAAGGGCGCTGAATGGGGGCAATCCGGGTGCGTACGCGTGTCTCGATGGCGAGTGAGGCGCTGGAGGCGCTCGGCGGCCCGCTGCCGGCGCAGGGCCGCCGTCAGCAGGGCGTCCATGCAGGCGGCGGCGCCCGGGTCCGGCAGGACCACCGACTCGACCGACTCCGCCAGGAAGCGGCTGGGTCCCTCGATGCACTCGTTCGCCGGCCGGGCATCCCCCCGGGAAGAGGGCGACAGAGGAGGGCCACTGGCGGGGATCCCGAGAAGCGGGTCGAGGGAACGGCGCTTCCTTTCCAGGGCGTCCATCCGGGCATTGAAATGACGCACCAAGCGACACAGGCTGGCCGGGGGGGGAGGGGGGGGAACGGACAAAGTCAGCGCGAGCCGCCAATGCAGATGCAAGGAAGAGGGCCCCAAGGCGGGAAGCCCCAGGAAGGTACCCGATCAGTCGCCAGCTGAGAGATGTGTCGTGCACATGGTCGTCACTGTCGAAGTGGCGCTGGAACAGGGCAAGCGACGGCCCGGGGCCGGCATCCTGGGCCACCTCGACAAAGGAATCGGACGACAGCGACGTGTGGAGCCCCAGCGATCGGGAAGCCGTGGGGTAATCCTGGTCGGAGGGGGGCTCGGGCGATGGCGCGGGCGAGGCGTCCGGCGACGATTGCGGCGCCTCGGTGACAAAGGTATCGCCGGCCAAATTGATCAGCATCTCCGGCTCGTCCAAGCCGGAGGCGCCTGTGGACATGGCCAAGAGCCGGAGCTCCGGCGCCAGGGCCGGATCGCCGGAGGGCTGGGCCCCGTACAGGCGAAACTGCGACACCAGCAGCAGCGATCGGGGATGCAGCGAGCACACGCGCACCGTGGCCGGCAGGGAGGCCGGCTCGGCCGGCACCATCTGGAAGGGGAAGGGCCCGGCCTCGGCCAGGGCCTCACTCGCCAGCGGAGGGGCAAGATCGGCGGCCAATCCGCCCGGCAGGGGGACCTCGCTGTGGGGGGGGGCGCTGGTGCCGGGGGCATCGGACCCCTCGGCCGGCCAGGGCCCCTGGTGTAGGGACAGCGTGGCGAAGTCCACCGGGAAGTGGTACACCTGCAGGGGCTCATCCGTCGAGGGGCTCACGCCCAGGAAGAAGGACATGTCTGGTGGGCAGTCCCAGGGTGGGGGGGAGAGAAGGAGAGAATGGGGAGCGGCGGAGGGGAGGCGAAAGGGGGGCCCCGGGCCGGTCAGCACATCCGAGCAAGGAGGCAGGCGAGCGGGGGGGGGGGGAGGCAAGGTGCGCACGCTGGACCCCGTGGGTGTTGGACAGGAGCGCGCGGCGCTCGATCGGCCAGTAGATGGAGTTCTGGGAGGCAGGCAGGAGGGGCCGGAGTGAGTGCGAGGGGGAATGGCGGGGGCGGGGCCGGGCAGGCCAAAAAGCAAGATGGGCAAGCCGGCGGCGCACGGAGTCGACGTCCACCGAGGCGGACCCGGCCACCACACACGGCCGACCGGAGGGCGTGGCCCCGAGCAGGCGCTCGTGGAGGAACCCGAGCACCGGCTCGCTGAAGGTCCCAAGCAGGTCCGGGTGCACGCGGTCAAAGGGGCAGTATGCGGCGTGCAGGGGCGCGCGCGAGGCGCACAACGACGGCGGCGCCAGCAGGTCCAGCGAGTGGGCAAAGTGCGCCGGCCCGTCCGGCAGGAGGCCCGGGCTTTCGGGCGCCCCGGCCGCTCCGGCCGCGTGGAATACCAGCGCCGCATAGATGAAGGGCTCGTCGGCGGTGTGCAGCGCGGCGACGCCCTCCGGGCCGAAGGCCGGGTCGTCCAGGTGCACGCGCACGCCCTGCATCTGGGTTTGGAAGAGCTGGCATGGAGGTGGGGGGGGGGGGGGGGGGGGCCGGGGGGGGGGGGACCGAAGGGGGAGGTCAGGCGCGGGCGCCGGCGCGGGCGTTAGCACCACCATGGCCCCGGCGGTGCCGGTGGTGGTGGTGCCGGTGGTGGAACTGATGGCAGGAGTGGATGCGCACGGAAAAGGGGTCGAACAGGGGGCGCGTCGACTGGGGGCCAAATGGGGTCCCGCTCAAGCCCGCCAGCGAGCCCCCGGCGTCGGGCATCGCCAGGAGGGCCGTCGGCGGCGGCATCGGCGCTGGGTCGAGACGACGGGGGGGGGGGGGGCGGGGGGCAGGAAGAGGCACGCAGGAGCAGGGGAGGGGCGAATCTTGGGAGGGGATGGGTGGCAAGGGGGTCTGGTCGGAGTGGCACCTTCCCCGGTCGCGGTGCGGCGTCCCCTGAATGGCGAGCGCCGGACTGTCTTCTGCCGCGGGAGTCGCGCCGGCCCCTCTCTCCCGCGCCGGCCCCCCGCCCCCTGGGCTCCTCCCGGCTCCATGCCGCCGCCAATGCACATCAGCCCACGAACCTGAGACGTCCCCGGGCGGGGGGGGAGAGGCGCCTCGGTGCGTTTTCCGTGTGCCGGGATCGCACGTTCAGTCGCGGTCGCCTGGGAGTCTCTCGGGCCCGGTTGGGGGCGGCGGGCGGGCCCCAGGGGCGCGTGCCCTTGTTTCCCCCCTTCCCGGGTGGGAGTCGCGCTCCTGGGGGCGGGGAGCGGCGTCCCGCCCCCCCCCCCCCCCAACGCCAGACACACGAGCACACGCTCGCCAGGAATCAACAAACACCGGAGCGGAAGACCCGCTGCATATAGGGGCTGCGCGCATTGTTATTGTCGACAACAGCCGGGCCGGGCCGGGCCGGGCCGGGGGGGAAGGTGGGGGGATGTGGGGGTTGCCGCGCCATCGGGCGGGTACGGGCGGGCGCGGGGCGCCGCCGCGGGGGGCATCAGCGCGGCCCGGCTCGGCAGGCGCCGAAGCAGCCAACGGACCTGACGCATAAGTGGGCGTGACCCGATCACATGAGACCCCGGTGCCGGTGGACGGGGAGGCCGGCGCACTGAATCGTTGGCTGGCCGGTTTGCGCGCCGCGGCGCGCAGGGCGATCTTGCCGGCCGGCGCGGCTGGCGGTCACCGCGGTGGCAGCGCCGGCCCCCCGCGCGCCTTCACGCGGCTGGCCCGGGGGCACACCGCGCCTTGGGCG